TTTCTGAGTTTTCCTTTTTACTGAACTCCACATGTACTTTTAGTGAGTACAATGTCATCTAGGATTAAATTGCTCTTTAATTTTTTCCTGTGAGTTATTTTTGAAATGCTAAGTAGATCAAAGCCTTGTTGAAGATTTTTGCATTGATGATATTCACACAGAAAGTGCATCCCTGGACCGCTGAAGAGGCTCTGTAAAATGACAGGGGGTACTGTCCTAACTTTTAGGGTCATGGAAGGCTTATTGGAGAAGACGACATCTAAGGCAGTAGGATGAGTGGGAGGTATAGTCAGGGGAAGAATGGAATAGGGAAAGCATGGCAGAGTGTCAAGTCCTATTTCATGTTCAAGAAGAGGTATCTGCAAAGAGAAGAGAAATCACGGCATGCCCCCAAAGTTGCACAAATAGTTCAGAATCACCAAAAATTAACTGCAAGAGGGTAGACTTGAAAAAGGAGGTATGCCATAAGGAACATACAGGGGACAATACGAGCAGAGCTTGAATGTCAAATTGTGCTACAGACACAAAATTCTGTAAAGTAAAAGTAAGAGTTTGCTTGTTTTTCCAGCAACTTACACAACTAACAAAATGACACGAGATAGACCAGAGACCAGGGAGAGTTGGGTGGTGTTCATAGCAGAGATTGAATTGTGGGCTGATTTAGATAGCCAGAGAGGAGAGCGACAGGACTTCTGGCCAGGAAAACAGCCTGAACAAAGGCCAGGGGTTTGTAGTCACGTGGGCCTGCCTGGTACAGGGATTTCTGCTCAAAGGTAAATGACATGCAAATTTGCCTAATGATACATTGTCAAGGCTGAAGCAGGAACACTAAACCAGTGACTGCCCATTCAACTACCCATTTCCTAGAAAACACAATTATTTATTATGCCTGGATGTCCATTTTCTTGAGTTACTGAATACCTTTTCTTCGCCCTTTCATTATTTTTCATTAATAATCAGATAGTGCTGGCATCATTTATATCCAAGTTTGCAGCTGCATAGACCAAATACATTTTACCGAGACCAGTGAGTTATCTACTGAAATAACAATGATCCTTCTTCATCTATGTCATCATCTATTTGGGTCTCAAAATATTATCATCATGATCATTATTCTTACTCTTATGCTTTCTTTTAGATATCATTTTTAAAGATCTTTTTATGTTCAAAGCCCTGTGATAAGTGCTTTATAAGTTGTAAGAGACACAAAGCATTTCTATATGTCTAGCATCCCTTCTTCAGAAATAATCTGTCCCTCTTCTTGTGTGTGTGTGTGTGTGTGTGTGTGTGTGTTTGAGGGACCAGCCCTTCTTCATTTTAACTCCATGCAGTCCATTCTATGCATCCACACCACTGCCCTTCTTTTCCCGTAGGATTTGCGGTTGTGGTAGCCATAGCCTGGATGAATCCACAGGTGGGCACATATCCCAAAATGGACTGAGCCATGCCAGGGCCTAGACTCTTGCTGCAGTGTTTGGAAAAGACATACTCTCCTTTTGGTGGACTCCTTGGGTGGGAAAGCCACTGAAATCTGAAGCTGACCAGACCAACTGGCTCCCATGGGAAGAAGATCTACTCAACAGTGAAGTCAACACATAGGAAAGCAGAACCAAGAGAAGGAGACAGAGCAACACTATCCTCAAGACATTAAATTCTGAAGTCAGCCATTTCTGAAGGGAGCATTCTGCTGGGCTTTTAGTTACGTGGCTCAAGAAATTCCTATTGAGTTAGACTTTTGTTCCTGGTCACAGAAATAGTCACAGACTTTTTTTTTAAGTAAAAAGCTCCTGTGTTTAACCACCAATATTTCCAAGGATGTGTCCTGGTGAAATGTCAATTTAAAATAGAATCACTCTCCACCTGCCCCCTGCTTCTGCCAGAATTCTTCCAGGACTCACAGGGGTGATTAGGGGTTTGAGGCACTCGCTCAGTCCAAACCCCAACCAACACAGCGTCCTGGCTCTTTTCATTTGGAACTCGTGAGCAAACCCTTTCCACCACCAGGTGGGAAGCCTGCTGGTACCAAAAACAGTTTTGCTCAATTCTATTCAGGGCTGAAATTGATGAAATGGCCCCCTCCGGTGGTGAGAGCAGCTGCTATGTTCTCCTTGAAGAAGCTTCCTCAGGTGGGGGACCTGAGATGAACCTACTGGACTCCACGGTCTCCTAATACTTACTGTGTTGATAAAAACTGTACAGCTGGAAGGCAGTGACAATGGTGGGACTCAGGTGGCACCGTTCAAGGTGGCACCCCAGTTTGACTGACTTCTAAGTACGAGGACGGATTTCCTTATATCTTGGGAGAGTTAATTTCATCCTCCGTCACAAGGGGAAGCTCACCAAGTAAGGTTTTCAGGAGTATGCACGAAACCAAACAACCCTAACACAGTAGACTAACCTCTGGTCAGTCTCTGTCCTGCAGAAGGGCAAGATTAAAATGGACGTACTATATCAGAAGAGCAAAAAAGTGCAGGCTCTTTGAAGTCCCTACACATTTGGCCTAAATGCTTCCTGGCTTGTTTTTCAATCAGCTGATGTGAATGACAAGTTATAAATAATCAGGCGACCAGCGTGCCTTGCACTAGAAGAGATGACCTTTATGTTTCCCGAACATCTATTCTAGTGGTCTCTAGGGAAGCTACCTGGAATTAGAAGAGAGTTTACCATGGGTGTTAAAAATAACTCTCCTTCTTTTCCCTCTTAAATGTAATGGCACTTAGTGATACTATAGTTCTTGAGACAAATTTTTTAAAATGTTTTCAGAAATAATATTAACTTGTCGTTTTGTTGTCAGATTGGCAGGGCCCAACTCCTAAATAAATAAATAAAATTATTTATTTAGTTTGAAAAAGTGACTTTGTAGATGTCACTGCAGTGTGAGTTCTTGATCTTTTAATCTCCTTCTTGTTCTAAAATTTTGATGGACATGTATTGCTAATGGGAGAGATACAACTCACACCAAATAGGTACCATTCATCCTTCTCTTTTGGAAAGGGTCCCCTGGCTTTGAGTTATCTGATTTTCCTGATATTTTTGTCTGCCCCCTGCTGGTCCTTCATCTTCAGCAAGCAGCTTAAACATCACTACACCCTCCCCCTGGTGATTCCATTCAACCTCACAGCTCTACTTAACCATTCATACTGAGTCCTGACTTCCAGACCCATCCATAAAACTGATTTCCAAACATCTACCCGAATATCCCATGGACACTCTAATATAGTAAAACTGAAATTAGTGTATTTCCTCCTACAACCTAGTTCCAGTCATTTCTTATTATCAAAACCTGGGAAACAGACCAGAATCTTTCCTTTCCCACTCCTTCCTCAACCAACCGGTCACTGTATGCTATGTTATCCGCTCCTCCCATGTGTCTGGTCTTTGTCTTCTTACCATCCTCACTGACGTTGCCCTCATTCAGGCATTTATCATCTCTTACTTGAACTACTGCAAGAAATTCTGCTTTGAAGTCAACCTACGTGTTGTGACTTTTCCAAAATGCAAATCAAATCATGTTCTTCTCCTCTTAACACAAGGGGTTGTTCCGTTTCATACACATACATTTAAATACCTTGGTGCATTATACAAGACCCTTTCCATCTGGCTAATGACCACCTCTCTGGATTATTGCCACAATAACACTGTGTACCAAACAACCATAAAATCTCAGCGACATATTTAGGAAACATTTATTGCTCTCTTGTCTGGAGTGGTCTGCTCAGTCAGTCTTTTTATCTTGGCTGGCCTTGGCTGGTCTAGGGCGTACTTCGCTGGAATGATTGGGGCAACTTGGCCATGCTGCCTGTGTCCCTTGTCCTCCAGCGGGCCAGCCTGGGCATGATTTATGGAGATGACAGAGGTGCAAGAGAGAGCACAAGCAGAAACATGCAAGGTTTCTTGAGGCCTAAGATTTGGCACACTATCACGTCTGCTGAATTTTATTTGGCAATGAATGTCACAGGACTGGCCCAGATTCCGAGTTCAGAAAACAGATTCTGCATATTTAATGGGAGGAACTGAGAGTGGGGATGGGGAGCTGATGCCTTCATTGTACTCTTCATCTTTGTCTTCACTGGCTGTACAGAATGGATAGGAGTCTCCTGAAAATGTCCAGCTCTTTGTACTTCTGTTTCATTTAGCTCCTGCTATACCATCTGCCCAAGATCCCCCTACCCCAGCCCCCAGGACTGGCCCCGGTACACACTAGCTTATCCCTCATGATCTGGCTCTTTCCTGACCTCACTCTGCCTCCTTTGTGAGCTCTGTCTAGCCCTTACTAAGGTCTACATAAGACCTTAACTGTTTTTTTGTCCTTAATTTTTTATATGCTTGTTTCCCCCTAGAGACTACAAATCTATTCAAAGCAGAGACCATTCTTAATTACTTTTTTACCCTTACAGACTAGGATAGTCCTTGTCAAATATTAAACACTTTATAACTCTTGGTTGATTAGAAGTTTGGAAGTGTAGCAAGTATGTGAGTTACAGGGTGCCTGGGTGGTTCAGTTGGTTAAGCGTCCAACTCTTGATTTCAGCTCAGGTCATGATATCAGGGTTGTGAGATAGAGCCGAGTCAGGCTCCACACTGGGCATGGAGCCTGCTTAAGATTCCCTCTCTCTCTTTGTCCCTCTGCCCCTTCCTCCTGTGTGTGTGCACTCTCTCTCTCTCAAAAAAAAAAAAAAATATGAGTTACAGAATCTATTCACTTGTGTTTGGATCCACTGAATTGCTAAAAAGAAGTAGCTCATGAAGATGATTGGTTTGGGAAACAGCTTTTGGGTAACATTTAAGAGAAAACTTTTTTGGGAAATAGTATATTTTTTAAGTAGAGAGGTGAAAATGAGAGGGCCAAGACATTTCCAGCCCCTCTTCTCTAAAAGTTCACCCCAAATAAGGAAAATAAGAAAGAAAAGCATACATTTACAGGAATTACAGGTCTAAGATAGCATGGAAGGAAAAGTCTGGAAGATGAAAACGAGATTGTTGGAAAGTCTGGACAAGGAATAGAAAGGACTTCCAGCTTCCTGTGCTCACCTGTCACAGTCAGATGACTACATATCTCCCATTCCCTCAGGAGAAGTTTGTTGTCTGGAGAAACTGAGCCAGAGAGGTTTAAGACTTGGGGCCCCGAAAGAAGAAGAGTGGAATGCCAACCTGAAAACAGGGGAGTGTTGAACATCTGCACGTGGAATGGTGAGCTTCAACCCCTTTGCCCCCAGGGTAAAGCTCCAGAATGCCAGTCAGGCTCATTTTTCCTTAGAAAGGCTGAGGATCCTTCACTGAAGAACCTAGACTTCCCCAGAGAAAACATCTTCAGATACAGATATTTGGGGCCTTTGATACACAATTGATTGAGTCCCCTATGATTCTCCCACACTCTGCACCTCTCTAAGCCCCACTCATGCCCACAGGGCTTCCAGCAAGGTGAAGCTAGGGAAAGCCCCGAGTGGAAAACCTGAGGAAGCACTTCCTCTAATCATAATGAGCACAGTCCTGACATTGCATGTGTGCAGTTCTGAGTACATGTGCGCCCCCTTACATTTTGTGTCCCAGGCATTTTGCTTGCCTTACTAACTCCTGGCTCTGGCTTCCAGTCGCTTTATAATGCCCCAATATTATATATGCAGGGACAACCAAGGATTGCCAGATATTTAAAGGAAGCTTTTAATATCCAAGAGAGACCCCACGACAAACAAAGGGAAAAAAACCCTCAGGAAATGGAGCTAATGCAAGGAGAATGAAAAAGCTTCACAGGAACTATAATTTTAACATCCTTGGAGAGAGAAGAAATGTTGCATCTATTTAAAAGAAAAAGAGAGTGGCACAATGAAAAAAGAACAATGAAGAGAATATAAACATGATCTTGGAAAGCAAAATAAAAATTGCTGGAAAAGCTGGAAGATAAAATTGAAGCCTATCCTGAAAAGGAGAACAAAAAGACAGAAAGAAAAAAAAAAGGAACATAGGGAAGAAATGATAAGAAAATCAGAGTCAACCCAGCATATTTGATATCTGATTAATAAGGATTCCAAATAAGGAAAGGAAATGATCAAAAGTATAAGAAAATGTAGATGCCCAGGGTTTATCACTGGAGAGTTCTGATTCACAAGGTCAGTAGGTTGAATTAATGGATTAACTTTATATCTTCACTGCAGCATCTTTAAAGCACACAGTATGAAACACAGACGAAGCAGGATTCCAGAACCGATGAACCGATATTTGATTTGAAATGTAGAGATTGGTTGTGGGAAGAGGGTGTAAGGATGGGGATAGCTATGTTTTAAACTTATTTTGGAAGTGGAAAACAGCTACACATCAGTGTTCAGTGATTACAGGAAGTGGAGACAATGCAGCTGCTAAATGAGTCCCTTAAATATTGACATGACTGATTCTAGTGTGGCTTGTTTAGTAGGAAGTGGGAGAGAAAGCAAAAATAGACCAAAGCAAACATTTGCTCAAGATAAATGAAGAGGAATACATCCTCTCCGTGCTCCTCCTCCCCTATGAAAACATGGCCATAAGCTCCTGACAAGTTTTTTGCCTCACGTTTCCATTGTGATGGCCGCGGTTGTGACTTAGCACATTCTAACGAGTTTTATTTGTGCTTATCTGTCTGACTAAATGCTAGAAAAATATTTTATGCTTACATTGTCACAGCTCTTCAGGGATGAAGGTTAGTGCTCTCCTTCATCGGAGACTGGAAAGCAGTATTCAGCTGTAGAGTCTCATTAAGATTATTTTCAAAACGCAGTCGCAAGCGAGGGGTTCCATTCTAAAGGTTATGGAACTCTATAGAGGTTACCACAAAGTTCGTGGGAGAAATTGAGGCAGCCATTTAAGTAATTTAAAAAGATGTCATTTTCCTGACGTTTTAGATAATTGAGTCAAAAGTCAGCCCTAAGTCTGAGGTAGTTGGATGGCTGCTTACTTCTCTACTGTGCCTTTTATGTGTAATGTGGGCAGCTGGGGAGTTTAAAATCTCCGTGGAGAAATCTCAAAGCAGGAACGGAGAGCACATGAAAGAAGTTTCTTTTGTCTCCCTTTTAACAAGTGAGGAAAATGTGCCGTAACAACGAATTCACTCAAGCTACATGGAATGTTAGGTAAAAGATTTTTCTCTGTCAAGTAACATAATTCATGATATCCCATCTCTACTGACTGAGAAACTATTTGTAGAGACACGTTAGGTAGAATTGTTGCAAGCACATTGAGAAAGGTCTACTCTTATTGTATTTGTCTATTTGTCACTGTGCTGAATAGATGTATTTAGAATTAGATTGGGTTTTTCTTAAAAATCAAAATTATAGGCATTCACTGAGTGAAACGATAAAAATTCATATTCTTTATTTGACTTTCTATTTCATTTTTATTTAGACTACACTTTCCTTTAGGATTATGTACTTAAAATGAACAATGTATTGATTCTGTTGTTAATATTTCTATCAGAGCACACAGTGGTAAGCAGAAATATTCTGTAACAAATACATTCAGTAATAAATTCTGAGAATATATTGGAAGTACTGTCCTAATATGAAATCATGAAACTTAAGCAAACTTTCAAGCCAGCAAGAGCTGCAAATAAAACAAAATATTACAGTCGACCCTTGAACAGGGGGGTTAAGGGTGCACAGTGGACTCCATGCAGTCAAAAATCCATGTATATCTTGCCTATAAATCCCCAAAACTTAACTACTAATAGCCTATTGTTGACCAGAAGCCTTACCCATTACAGAAGCAGTTGGTCAACACATATTTTGTATGTTGTATGTATTATATACTACATTCTTAAAATAAAGTAAGCTAGAGGATAGAAAATGTTATTAAAATCTTAAGGAAGAGAAAATACATTTAAAGTATTGTACTGTATTTCTCAAAATAAATCCGCATGTAAATGGACCTGTGCAGTTCAAACAGGTGCTGTTCAGGGTTAACTATAATTACCCATGTCATAAAGTCCAACTCTGGGTCATCTGGAAACTTCCCGTAGGTTTATTCAGCCACATCTTACCATAGCTATTCAAATGTGAAAGAATTTGCTATGCTTTTCCAAAGATTCTCCTCGTGTTTATTAACAATGACAGATGTGTGAGTCAAGCCTGGACTAATAATATGCCAATTACAGAAGGAGACCAGTGTACTTTAATGCTTATTTTATTTTTTTAGAACCTATTTAAAATTTTTAAAAATGTGTGGTGAATACTGATTAACTTTGGCAAATCATAAGCTGCCATCCCTTTCTAACTATATTTAATATGATACTCTTAGGCAATAAACTGGAGCAAAGCAAAAAGGAATAATTCTTTTGGATAACCAGAGACGTGTGTGTGTGTATTTACTGGATCTTTTTGGAAATCATCAAAGATAGGATAACCTTTCTCCCTAAACCTTACTTTCTTTCTCTAGGATATCTGGCACAAAAAGTAAGATAAAAAGTAAAATAAACGATTTTTTATTCTGTGTAAATTTTAAGAATTGTGCTTTTTAAAAAGGGTCTGTGTTCTTCCTACCATTGCTGTACTTCCTTGCCTTTTCCTCCTGCTTTGCTATTGGCCAAAATTGCAATGAAAAAAAAAACCCATCTCAATGAAAAATACCATCTCATGTATTGGAGGCCACGTGGCAACAGCAAAGAGGGACTGGGGTTTATTAACATATTAACAAATATTCCGTCACTATATAGTTAGGCACTTAAAAAACATTGTCTGATTTAATCTTCAAAACCAACCTGTAAAGTAACAATTGATTCCTCCATTTTACAAATGAGAAAACTGAGACTTGAAGAGTTTACATAAATTTCCCCAAGATACATAGCAAGTGAGCAGCAGAATTGTCACGGGGAACCCAGACTGCATGATTCCAAAGTCCATGTTCTTTCTATTTTATCACCCAGACCTCGGGATCGTGAGGAAACCTGGTGGATGGGAGCAGTGCGGCGCAAGGAACTGTTCCTGACCATCTGCGGTGACAGAGAGTTTGCACCAGAGCATACTTCTGCACACGACTTTCTTTATTGTGAAGCTCTTGCCTTGAAAACAACTGTCAACTGCACTCAAAATAGCGTGCAGGTAATTGATTTCTTTTCTGGAACAAGCCCTTTATCACAGCTCATTACAAATAGTTTGAGGAACGGCAGGGGTCCTCGGACCACACTTTGAGTAACACTGGACTTAAAGAAAAGACAGTAACTGCAGTGAACTAGTGGGGTCACCATCCAACGAACGGTTCTGAGCCTCTTTGGAACTAGAATCAGTTCGATTGTATCCCCTGCCCCTGCCTAATTTGTAGCATCGTTATCCATTGCAGAAATCAAAGTGCCTACTCTAAGGAAGCTCAGTATTTCCCACATAAGGCGAGAGGAATGGTTCTGAAATATAGACAGAATCCTGGCTTAAATCCTGGCACTTTCTGGAGCTCTGGTATGAAAGAAAAAGCAGGGTTTATGTTAGAGTCGTGAGAGCTTTGGTAATTAGGATGGGCTGCGGAAGGAGTGCCATAATGAGGTTAATAGCATAGTCCTGAAACCTAGACCATGTTGGTTTGAATGTTGAAAGGCTCTACCTTAAGGGCTGTGTGAATAATGTGAAGAGCTTAGCACGGCCTGGCAGAGGCGCTCAGTAGACGGCACCTCTATTATTAGGATCAGCTTTACAAGGAAGCGGATCCATATGTGAAGGCGTTGGATGTTAACTGGTAGAGCATCTATTCACAGTACATGAAATGCCATCTTAAATTACAATTTCTTCGCATCTTATAGCCTTTACAATCTTCCTGAAGCCAATTTTAAAATGCAAATACTCCGGATATCTTATCTTCGGTTAGTATAAATAGAGGTCAGTTTCATTTCCTACTGTGTCATTTGCAAGTTTTCAAAGTAACTACTTCATTCCTAATTATAAAAGAAGTATCTACATTTCTGAAAAAGACACATCTGAGCATCTGAGCTCAGCTCATTAAGAATTAGCTTATGTCACAGTGTTTCCCAAATTATGTTTTACTTTATCACAGTGTCTGACATATGCTCTGTTTAAAAAAAGAAAAGAAATCATATCAAATAAAGTTGGGATATACACATCCCAAGATTCATGAAGCACATCAACATATTAAAGACCTGAAACAATCTTACAGAAAAGAAACCTTTGTTTACCCTTGAATTTCCCAAACCAATTTGATCAGAGAACACTTTTGGTAGGCAGCACCTATTCACAGCGTGATTTAAGACCACCCGCTGCCATAAGAGATTATTTTAAAAACTTAATAGTTAATTCTGTTGGGACGGTACCTAGATTAGGCACTTGGAACAAGGGGATATGAAGAGAGGTTCTTAAAAGGGGAGGCACGGAGATGATAGTGAACTCTGTCCTGCATGGAAAGAACAGAGAAGAGAGACTCGTGACCTTCTGCCCTTTTCCAATTTATTCACATACTAGCCACTGACCTGTGTTTGCCGCTACATCACTTAACCTGGCTAGACCTCAGTTTTTCCCTCTATCAAATGGGGGGCTAATGCAAGGTACTTTTTAGGGTCTCATCTAGATCAGCTATCCTGGTCTTCAGTTTAATTTTGTTTTGGAAAAGAATGCATGCAAGATATTTTTTACATTGGTAGAAGTAGTGGTGGTATAAATTTGTTTTACCTGTTTAGAGGTTTTAATTTTCTTTCAAGGATTCTAAGCTGTCCCAAAGGTCAATAAAAATGTTTGATATAAAGCATTTTAGTAATTTTTTGTAGTTTGAAGATTGTTACTTGTCATAGCTCAAAGTCTCTACCTAGATGTGACTTATTAAATAAACATTGAATTAATATTAGGGTTTTTTTTTTTTTTTAATAATGGGAGTTATTTTAGTGGCTAGATCAACTCATGATTTCATTGCCTCATCTTTTATGTCTACTCAGCTTACTGACAAATTGAATGAATCTTTAAACAATGGGAGAACTAGAAGATGCCTCATGCTCAGTGGCTAACTGGAATAACTCCATAAACCAGCAATTGTATTTCACTAATGTGTTCACTGTTGACTCAGGTTATCATGGTCTTAGGTGGGATTAATATATTTTCACAAAACAAGGCCTGCATGTCAGGTGGTCAACTTTTGTTATGAGATGAGCTGGAGAGGATTCAGAAGCTTTATGGACTTAATAGCCATAAAGTGAGTTGGCTGACAAAGGAAGACAATAAAAAGAGAGATTTAGAGGGCATTACTAGCCTCTGAATAATAGGTATGCGTATCCCTGGATTTTTAGAAGTAGCAGGTGGTCATGAGTCACTGTTTTTAAACTTGCTCACTTTTTTGTTACATAAGGGAGGTATTTTGGCAAAATACATGTTTATATTGCAAAATAATTATTCGTCCATTATAGCAATTCCAATGATATTGCTTTCTTTGGACATAAAGTATATATCAATATTGCCTGTAGCTAAATTTAATACTGATACTACAACAATTATCTTTGCCCTCAACAACTTGGGTTTTTCCCTCCTTTTAATTCCTGGGGGAGAAAAACTCTTCCTGTCAAATCAAAGTGGTTTTTTTTTATTATTATTATTCTTATGACAGCATGATTATATAGAACACGAGTAGGAAATACTTTGAACTTGTTGGATAATGACATGTCAGTGGTTATTTCTGATGAACGTCTCAAGAATACTAAATAGAATTAAAATTCTTTACTAATTTTCATTTAATATTCATTCTTTAGAACTGCAGTCAGCCTGGAGAAATAAAGTCTTCACTCAAATATTTATCTTTCATCTTTGTAATTTAATTGATGTATATCTGTTATCTTCAGATCTCTAAGGGGATGACCATACCTGACCTTGGACAAAGGATATTGGGATTCAATACCTTGATGGTGGAGTTTAGAGAAGGTGGTGGTTATTATTCAGGGCTAACAGCTGTAGAGCTCACAGAGAATTCATTTCCCTATGATTTTCTTTCTTTCTTTCTTTTTTTAAAAGATTTTATTTATTTATTTGAGGGAGAGAATGAGAGAGAGAGAGCATGAGAGGGGGAGGGTCAGAGGGAGAAGCAGACTCCCTGCTGAGCAGGGAGCCCAATGCAGGACTCGATCCCGGGACTCCAGGATCATGACCTGAGCTGAAGGCAGTCGCTTAACCAACTGAGCCACCCAGGCGCCCTTCCCTATGATTTTCTAAGAAATACTGCTCATTTTAGTAAAATTGTCATTTTCCCAATTATACCTCTTTTCTTGTTAGGTGTTAAATTGTATTTAGACTTTTATGGCTAAATAAGACAAGGATTTCAAGTGGCAAGGAGGTAAGTGATGAACATACTTTTTTAGTTAAATGAAAATAAAGGAGTTTGAAGAAATACATAAAGGTTTCCAGCAACTTTAGGAAAGCTCATTTTTAATATCCTCAAAACTTGAGGAATTGAATATTACTAGACACAGTCTAGGTCACGAAGTAGGGCTTTCCTACATTTAGCCATTTGGACATGTCTGTTTTATCACGAAATCCTTTCTGTAAGGGTTTCAGGCAACAGGATTAAAATCCCTGGAGCCTAACAGAACTGAAAAGGGGTAAGAGAACTTCAAACCACTGGCCAAGGAAAATCAAACTAGCTAAGATGAAATAAGGTCTGAGGAGGCTCTAAGGTTTAAGACACAAAGGAAATCTCCATCTTTTAAAAAAATTCCAAAGACTTGCTTTTATGCTAAGCTTTTGAGTTAAGAATAAAGTCCAAATGCAATGCAAAAACTGGAAAAAAAGGAACTCGTTTGGAAATGTTTAAGGAGATACGTGGAGACATAGACTTCAATCTTCACAGTAGTTTGGAATGTTAATACGAAACATGTATTCCTAAATGTGCAGTTTGGGAAGGGAGAATGTACAGTGGATTAGAATTTGCTGTAGCACAGCCTTGGACTTTGAGGAATAGAAGACCTCTATTGTGCCGTTTCTCCATCCATGAGTTTTGCCACTGTGTACAAATCACGTCACATGAGTGGCCCTGGCGTCCCTCATCTGCAAAGTGACAGGACTATAGCGATTATTTCATTGATCTTTCAGGCCATTTCACCCCATTATTTAAAAACTTCATGATTTTTTATGGCCAGTTTTGTTTTAGACACTATTTTTCTGATTATAGCTCATTTGAGATATAATATTTTTGTACTTAAATTATGGTATCCTTTCAGTCGTCTGAAGAAATACATAAAGGTTTCCAGCAACTTTAGGAAGGCTCATTTTTAATATCCTCAAAACTTGAGGAATTGAATATTACTAGACACAGTCTAGGTCACGAAGTAGGGCTTTCCTACATTTAGCCATTTGGACATGTCTGTTTTATCACGAAATCCTTTCTGTAAGGGTTTCAGGCAACAGGATTAAAATCCCTGGAGCCTAACAGAACTGAAAAGGGGTAAGAGAACTTCAAACCACCGGCCATCAACCCTGAGAAACACCTTACACTTCCCAGAAATCCTCACGAATTGTTTCATAGATACAGGCCTTGATCTCATCATCATTCCAGGAAAAAACAAACGAAACGTGCGTGTCTGAAATAAGTTTGTGACTTCACCACGACTCCTGAGATCGTGCTTACGTTAGGGAAGCTCAAGTGCGAAAGACAATGAGGATTTCCTTTTATTTGGCAGGACAAATCAGTTTATAGAGTAAATCCATTGATGAGGAAGCGAAAACAAGCCTCCTTGACCCTGACTGAACTTCCTCCTGCTATTCCCCCCCAGGGGTGAGGAGAATCGAGCTGACAGATTCCCAGCAACACAGCCAAGGACACGGAGAAGGCAGCTCCAGGGGCCCAGGGGCAGCAGCTGCGGGAAGGTCCACGTGCGTGCGCACGCCCCCACTTTGCAGGCCACCGGTGGGAAGACAGTACGTGCGGCAAAGCATCCAGGGGCCTTGCTCTCCCTGTAGGCTTCTTCCTCTATTACATAACGTCCTAACTCGGCTTCACCAAGAACCCAGATGGCATTTCTTTAGCTGTGAACTGTAAGCCACTTGGGTGCTTTCTCTAGGGGTAAAACGAAATGGGGGTTCGTGAATTTTTTTGCCATGCCCCCCCACCCCCGCCCCATCCAGAC